CGCTGGCTTGGCCACGTGTTGCGTATGCCAGTCGACCGACTTCCTCGAAGGGCTCTTTTCGCACAACCACGTGAAGGGTAGAAGAGAGCCAGAGGCGGCCAAACAATGACTTGGCAACGAAGTATAAAAGCCATTACCAGCAAACTCAGCTGCGCTGGTCATTGCCGTCTTCCTGGATGGGGACCTCGAGACGGACCATATCAATGGTTAGAGACATTGTCAGACATGGCCCAGTCGCGCCCTCAATGGCGCTGGTGAATCCAAGCTATTGCCTTCAATGTATAGCTCCTTTTCCAACCCCAACCCTCCCACACCACTTGACAGCCCATTGACAGTGCTGGATTTATACCGATTTATCTCCCATCTGCAATGCACAGCTACCTACCCCCCCCCCACAAATCATCGATGAACGAAAATGCGGCAGCTGCAACCACTGTATGACGGGTACGCGAATATTACAGCTGACAATGATGGTGATGATGATGATGGTGAATCATCCATTGGAATACCCTAAAATGGAATATAAAGGAACCAAAACCGATCGAAACTAATATGAAACTCCTCAAACCCATCGATGCAAGATTTGGGCAACTACGCCAACCGACAAGGGCCGTCAATTGACACTCAACACTGATCCAGTGTGGTAATCTGAAGAGGCCTTACTGACTGATTCTCTTTCTGCCTTAAAACCTAGCCAACTTGATGAGCTACTTCACTTGACCTGATGAGGCTTTTGTGTCGAAAGTGAAACGTCGCCCAATTAAAAACTACTGATTGTTTACCGGAGCTACTTCACTCACTTGACCGAGGCTTTTGTGTCGAAAGTGAAACGTCGCCCAATTAAAAACTACTGATTGTTTACCGAGCACTTTTGGAACGATGATTTCTCAATCGGTTCCAAACTTTTCACAAAGGATTAATCATGTAGACCAGGAGGAATAGTTGGATGAACAAAAGCTAGTCCGTGTGCCGTGATTATTCCTGATATGAAGCGATGTGGAGGAAGTGCTGTCGTCCTTTACTATGAGAGTGTAACGACAACAAGGTGTTTCCTCACGTGATAGGCATATCCATATTCGTGAAGCTCTCCACTAACTTGATATCCATGTTCATACCACCCATCGGGATGACATCGTCTGTGCTTTTTGCTCACTGGAGCAGTTGCGACAGATCTTGATGACATTAATCTTTCTCGTCTTCAGAATTGCACTTTCTAAACACTTATTCTGATAGCTCAGGCAGTGATCGTTTACTGCGTTTACCTGCACTGGCCTAATTTGGACCGAATATCGGTACAAAACAATGGACATTGTTCATTGAAATCCAGCCAAATAAAGCTCTTTGAGTCATGGAGTTTAATGCGAATCTCACGCCGTAGGACGAGTCATTACATCAAGTTCACATGTCGCTGCAAAGGGGGTATTCTTGAAAGTGGGGTGTTGGACGGTTTTGTGCGGGTCTTTATACCCTGGAAGTTTGTGGGGGTAGCGGTGACCGGCAATAAGGGAGCTGTGTAGCTCCAATAGCATGTGAGTCTGATTGCGACATCCAGGCGAATATTTGGCCCTCATCGTGTCTGTAAGCGTGTTTTGAGGGGGTATGATGGCATCTACCTATGACTAAATTCCCCAGGTTAAGGAGGGTTTCGAGAGTACGTTTGACTTGACCACAGTCAATATCCCTCTATTCCGTGCTCTAGAACTTTCAAAAAGGAGAGGAACACATTCTTAATGAACCGCCGGACTCAAAGTTTGCATCCGATACCATTTATCCATACTTCGATTTTGATTATGCTCGCAAAGCGCAACTTCTCACTCGAATCCAGTCTTAGTCTAGTTTGACAAAAAATACTTTGTTTCTCTCCACGGAAGCATGTTAGATTTTGGCCAGCAGTTCACCGAGTTGAAAACGCTAGACGACTTTAGGTCACCTTCAGGTTTTCTGTTCGGGAACTTCGTTAAGCCAAGTTGACAGTGGACGTTTAGTCTAATTAATAAGTCGAACACTTAATTTTTTCCTTTTGTACTACTGCCCTCAGTATCTTGATATCTTGTGTTCTGTCGACTTGATAGGTGAAAATATTTTTCAACGGTCTATCCGTCACGAACCTATCTTCCAAAAACCACCCTAAAACGCTAACTCAGATGGTCAATTCCTACTCCCGATATTCCGAAATCGCGCGTGATCTTAAGAGTCAGACTCAACTTGCGGGTGGTCCTTTCGTGCGAATCTTCGATGTGAACAACTACCTCTCAGTTCTGGGGGCACAGTATCGAAAGTGTGTACATACAGTGTTTAGTTAATGGTGTGGACACCCAGTCACCAGCTTCTGGGTGCTTCGTTGAGACACATGATAGGCTTTAACATATCATGAAGACCTAAGTTTAGAAATAAAGCGTCAATACACTCAAAGCAGTTCCTCATCAAAGAGGTCATACAAGACAGGGCCAAAAATCGATCTCGGGCATGTGAACCACTTTCTTATGTCTACCAGTTATTGAGTTGCCCATGTGTAACAGTATGTTCTCAAAGGCTGTCCCCTTCTGTTGTTACCAACAGCGTGTTTTGAGTCGTTGCTATGGTAGACATTGACTCCCTGCGCAAGCATCATGAAAATCCAACTGAATGGCGAATCAGGCGTGAATTTCTCCTTCAAAATAAAGAAAAGCTTGACCCAGAACGCTTGGAATGTCTTTCCCATTGTTTTATCAACGCAGAACTCTATGGAAACGGATACCCTGAAAAAATTATGCAGCAGGTATGTCATCCTTTTTACAGATCAACGTAATTTGTCCTTATAACGTAGATTAAGCAATATGGTGCTGGAATCCTAGATACCATGTTCCCTACTCGTTCGGCTAAGTCATAAGGTAAGCTTCTCATGATTCCCTGTTATCATAGATTTTGACAATATCTCCTCTTCATTCCTGCTTACTTCTTTTTGATGCCTAATCTGCATCTAGATGGCCTACGATATGCATGTTGATAATCCGTGCAATCATAATAGTTCCTCTGTATAACACCCTTTCGGTGCATGGCGGCTGGACAGCTTGACGCAAGCCCGACTGGTGAGATGATGCCAGATTGTTCGAGCGTAGACAGGAGCACTGGAAAAGGAGATTTAGGAGAAGTGGATTCGGACCAGGGACCTCCTGATACGTAGGTTTGTGCCTTAAGCCTGGCTCCTGGTGTTCCATAAAAAGATTAAAATGAAGATCGTTCAGCTGTAGCACCCTTTCGAGGCCTTAATGCCATGCCAGCGGAGTGAGGCAAGGAGCTGGGACACTGCCAGGTTGCCCAAGCTTAGACAGGATTAGTCTAATTGCTAAGGTTGGGTTCGAACCACGGACCTTCTGGTCCGTGAGCTGGCGCCTTAACCACTGAGCTTTCTTGAGCTCATCGTACCGTGGAACGAATGTTGGGTATATCAACATAGCTTGACCTTTCCGAGGAGCCTAGTCAGGGCGACCGGGCCAGAATATTGTGCGGGTTTTTGATGACGGTCTTATCCGTCTGCTAACCCAGCACCTGCTGTCGGCCATCAATTAAAGAATGTATCTTCGTGCCATTCAGATGAAAGCCACGCGGGTGCTACTTTGCGGTTCAGTGCTCACACCGTTATTTTCATCGTCGTAGTCATAACTTGCACCCTACTCATCTTCATCCTCATATAATCATATTCGTCCTCATCCTCTTTATCATAAGCTTCATCATCGTCGTTAGCAACACCCGTATGCGGTGCTCTATTTCCGTCTCACTGGTACGTTCCAGCTCCACTTATAATTGCGAGTAATTTTATACCTGGATTTGTGGGACACATTTAAGGGAGTTTTTATAGGGAAGAGCGTAGCTCACACATATTTTTGTTGGTAATCGTTCAAATCATTTGAAGTGTCTTTGTCCATTGACTACTGCTAATGTGTACCAAAAGTGTGAGAGAAACAGGAGTTTTCGATGCGCTTCAGAGCTACGGGAAAATTGTGAGCACTTAAAAGGGATTTTACACTGACTAAATCCGCTGAAACTTGAACTTTAGAGCGCAATCATCCTTCTCAAGGTGGATTTGATTAATTTACGTGAAAAATGACTGGATTGGTCAAAAAAGCTAGGAAGCACTGCCGTTTAGGTTCCTTATGTGAGTTTCCCTCTACCAGTCCATACCAGCTCTCGTTCGAAAACTTGGATATAGTGTACACAATTGTCTGTGTTGCCTTACTGGGAACCATCAGCCTCCGTCGTGAAAGCGTCGAATCCATCGTTTTCCGAATAAGAGCTGGGAATTGCTATTCGTTCATTGATATCTACTGCGGTTAGTTTACACACGAAGTATATAGCACCGCTCACCCTTCAACCGCGTAGATTTAGTCCATAACCTGGTGTAACGGATACACATTACTGTTGCTGTAAGTAGCACCGTTTATTTGAATTATAAAAGGCCATGTGTGCAGATTTATTCGAAATTATCGATGGTTGTTACTTATCCGATCCCGACTGTTCGTCAGTGCAAAGCCTAATAGTAGTGCTTAAGAGTATATATGGCTACGTAAGATCTCCTGAGCCGAATTCGTCTCTTCCCACCTAGTTCCGTGCTGTCCAAAAGTAACTGGCTCTGCACCCGTCCGGCTCGAGGGCTCGGGAACCGATCTTTCTCGAGATTTATGAGGTCTGCATTGTGCTGTTCCGGAACAAGGATGGGAAAGTTATGCGATCCTTCTAGGCGTTCCAGAATTAGCCGATTTTTCGTCGCGGGTCAAAATCCAGTCGATCATATAAATTTCAAAGCGGAACATCAGGTTTTTTAGGAGTCATCTTGGATCCCTTGACACAAAATTCAGTGCGCTTTTTTCGTCACATGCACTACACCGCAACTTTTCACAGTATAACTGCCGTGCAGCTCGAAGAGCGTACGAGGACTGGGATACTGCCAGGTTTCCCAAGCTTCCACAAGAACAATTAAAAAGTTAGGGTTGTGTTTGATCCATAGCTTCGATTAACCACTGAGCTCCCAGAATACTTGAAAATTCACGTGCACGTTTTGTACTATCTATTTCCAAACTGCGATTGGATTTCCACACACCTGAATGGGAGCTTTCCAGGTACATGATGACCATAGACGGAGATGCGATTGAAAATGATCGAGGACCAATGTTGCAAAGCTACATCTAGACAACTTAAGCAATTGCATCGTTCAATGTGCCAACTCCCATCAGAGATACCGTAGATGTGTATTTGTGAAATTTAACAGAATCGCGTCATGCATGGGTGAGCCAACAGGTGCTGAAAAACGGTGAAATACCATATATATATGAAACAGCCAGTAGTACACATCTCGGATCTAGGTCGGGTATCATGTTCACCGCATTCTTGATAGAGGCTTGCCATCCCAAGCTACGGATGACTAACCTTTAGTGTAGTTAACCTGCTTTTATACCGCCCCTCCTCATCAGTAGCACAGTGTGTGCCTTGTGCGATCTGACATCTCAGGGCCTATTGGGATTTTTATGGTTATGAATCGCCTACTTGTGTGTTTTAAGTAGCCTTATTGCGGTAATTTTCAACTTCATCCTGAGTCTTACGAGATGAAATCACTGGTTGCAACCCAAAAGGTTTTTGCTTACCATTAAATTGATATCCGGATCAGCTACATATCTGACACATCCAGTGTTGAGGTTCTCCACAAGTAGCTAAGTTGGTTTCCAATTATTTCAGTGTGATGTGCGGTAACCACATTCTTTTCTCTTGTTCCAGATCCCGCGCCTGTTTTGTTTATTTCCCTCATTTCTGTGCATGTTTTGAGAATAAAACTTGCCGAACTAAATTATTTGGTTTTGATCAGATTCTGGCTTTCGAGTGAAGTTCAATTCATCGTTCTCTTTGGCATAGTGGAGAACTCTAGCCTGCAACTCAATATCATGAGCGTCGCCAGTTTAAGATGTTTCACCGGCTGATTCGGTGTCGGGATTCAAAAATTACTTCAATTGCTGCTGCCTCACTGTGTATATCATTCAACTACCGAAATCCACTCATCTGAGGAGCTGATATTTGTTCACCGAGGACCCGATAGCTTAAAGCGCTGTGTTGATCTCCAATGTACAGAAGGCTTTTGAAATCGACCGCTTTTCTCATTATGTTGGTGTCGGATGCCCATCTCGCATGTTCATAACGGTATTATCATGGGAGTACCTAGGCCGTCTATTTTCAGTCTAGTCTCTTCTCACGGTTTAGCTGTCTATTCCAGTTTTTTTTACTTTCTCCTGCAAGTAAAACGTATTGAGTGATAATCCAAATTTCGCTGATTAACTCAGTCCTACTACTCCACCCACTCCGCCGAAACGAACCATATCGCTTAGGTGACTCCTAAAGTGAATCATGACTGAGTCAGTATTGGGTTGCGCAGGATCGAACAGCCACTTAAAAGACGATAGTACTGCGAATTAATCTCTGTACCAAGTCAAGCTCTTCCCGACCCAACACTGGTTCCCAAATAGAGGAGGTTGTTCTCCTCCTAGGGAGAGTGATGAATGCGTTGGTAGACTTATCCGATCGGTTACCGAAGGCGTTCATACCGTCTTAACAGGCAAGGACAGTAGTTTTCTTCCGTAAATGACATCTTATGAGTAACGTTTCAACAGTTCCGAGGGTCAGTCAACCATTGGTACATCTGGCTAATCTACCTCTGTGAAGCCATTCATTGACGGCGATCGGGCTTCCGTAAATTGAACTCAGTTGGAGAACCAAAACAATGTAACAAAAAATTTTCGACTTACGAACGACCTACTCCTCCAAAAACATCTGGCTGTATATCTTGTTTTTGTTCACTAGTCCTCCCCCCTCCCCGCTTATCTGGACCTAATTAATAAAGGTTTGCACGGCTTGGTCAGTTTCGGCCTAAGTATATTGTGCCGGATCACTATGAATCAATCGATCTGCGTGGCTATTAGTATTATATAGTTCAACCTCATAGAAGTTTACTCGAGCAAGTCAAATCGAGTACTTGGTCGCGTGAGTGGCTGATTAGGGTATTTCAGTGCGGCAGAAGGCATGAGGATCTGTGTACCTCATGAAGGGTTCGTTTTTACGTTCACTTCGAAGCAAAGTTGATCGCAGCAGGTGCTGTGCATTTGCATGCTTAGGTTAATTCCTGTAAAACAGAATAGTAATTCGATAATTTTATTATTTTTCAACCATCATTCACTAAACCATTAAGTGAATACCGTAAACAGTTTGTGAATTTGTAGAGTGCGTCAACCAGTGAACTCAAACGTTTTGTGGCATGTAGCTACAGGAGTATTAAAGATATTTGAAAATAGTTACCCGTGAATGTATGACGTATCTGTTGATCACTTGATTTAAATGAGTTATGGACCTTTTAGCTTTAGAAAGTGAATTGAGCACTACACAAGGCAGTGGTTTACACAGGGTGTTCTGTGGATGTACGGCAAAAGGAAATATTCCATAGGTCTTCTTGGATTATTACCAAAGTCGCCGCAATCGGGCAGGCCAAGTACTGTTTCAGTTACTCTTTTATTTCCACTGAGTGCCTGTTTATTGACGAATTGGTTCCTGGAGGTACTGTTTTTCACAAAAGCGTGGCGACTTATCCGAGCTGAGGTGTTTTGGCTTAAAAAGGTGGAGCACTTGTGTATTGGTCAAAATTTAAGTGCAGAGGGAATCATAAACGTTCTGAGGTAACCTGTATTGTTGTTGTACTCTACATGCAAGAGATGTTCCATGGTAGGCAACTTGGTGGGTTGCATGCTGGCAGTAATGACAAACTGTTGAATCTGTCATATACCTAGGTTAAATTTGATGCATCTTTGTAACACTGTAAACAGTCCAAGTGAAAATGCTGACAGTGCCCTCAAGAAGGTAGTTCCCTACGAATGCCAGCTGGTCATATGCTTGCAAAAGGGCACGTGTAGCTGCCTGAGGTAGAGCAATATTGTTAGGCTTAATCGCTCATTCTGGATGGAATTTCAGCTATCCTGTCCACAAATTCGTAACTTTAGATTTGAGCAATCTGGGAAAACATACCTTGGAAACACAGAATAGAATAGGTATGGCATATTTTGAATAATAAAAATTAAGGGGGATTAATTACATTCAGTCGTACCAGGCGGACCTGACATCGTGAAACGTCAGTCTAGATTTCATCGATTTGCGCGGTTCCTAGGCTGCAGCCATAGGTATGATGGACTTTTTTCGTGACCAAGACTAGTACGTTTCACTCGAACTTTACTTAACCGCGGATGCCAGAATCTGATCATGATTTTAAACATACTTAGAACTACAGCACACATTAATCGGATGTGTGCGTCAGGTCTCGGTACTCTTGGAACAGATGGTCTTTCTCCAAGTCCAGGAGCTTTGAGAACACTACGCCTGAAGCATGTAGGGGTCGAGGCCTATTCATGTACACAGGTGAGTGATACGGACCGAAAACACTCATAAACGGTTTACAGCTGCTTAACTAATTAACGCAGGGCTTCTGTCAGAAAACATCTGTCATATCAAAGCCGACTTGCTCAAGGACTTGCCGCTAGGTAACGATGATCGGCTTGGGGCATATCGTTTCGCGCCACCTAATCAGACTGCACCTAAGCTGTCAGCAACAGTCAGGCTCCCACACAGGGCCATTGGTCTTGAACCCGCCGCCTGATTCCCTGATGGATGAGGACAACAACGCGTTCTAGTAAAAATTGGATGAACGCTTAGGAGGAATATAGCACTGGAATCTATTTTGTCCACTTCAAGCTAGTCTGGTGAAGGGGTTCAAACGGATTTCTTACTGTCATCGATCAATTGAATATATGGTTTTCGGAGGTATCTGATACCTGGATGTTGGATGGCTGGATGTGTACTGTTTAATACATGTTGAACAGCCCGATGTTTTATGGAAAATGCGGCAATTCTGTAAGATTCCACAGTTGCATCACATTCCGGGGTGAACACTATCTATAGGAGGAAATGATAAAACTCAAGACATATCCGCATCCCCTCCACACATAAATATCAGCAAGCAGCAACATCATGTCTCACTTAAGAACGCCGACTTGTTTTTAAAAAAGTGCATTACTAGTACATTGCTGATGGAATGACTATGCGCCTTGTGATTTACACTTTTATCGAAGGCATCCGCATCGCAATTTCGTGCCGTAAATGCAGGTGTGGTAAGAATAAGAAACCAGCCACAATTGGAAAAGCTGAGAATAAACGTCGGCTTTTGCAACACCACCCGGGTTTTCTATCTTTTCACTTCATAGTGCATGCATTGAACTTTGACTGCAGATTGTGTCATCACGAGAGTGTTTGTCACGTGAAACAAATTACTGTCTGTAGTTCTTTCCATTTGGGTGGTTCAGTTCACCCAACATTCCGTTGTGACCAGCATTTTTTTCATTTAAAGTAGTAGTAATATGTCGGGCCAAACAAGAATAAAATTCTTTTCCGTCCTCAAAATGCCAATGGAGGTGTATGGACAGCAGACACGTGCTGTCATTTGCACAGTTTTATAAAGCACTTTGCGTGCAATGAGGTATGTAAATCGATTCTAGTGGCGCGAAGTTCTCGAATTGTTGAGTTTTTGTTGATGAAACCACTGGGGACTTCGTTACGTAGTTTGAGGGAAAGCGTGACAGCTATTCCTGAACCATTTAGGTAGGCAAAAATTGATGTGATGAGATGGTGGTTTCGAAAGCAGTGCTCGGTGGTGGATCGAACATCGCATTTTTGGTAGAAGTACTCGAAAGATAACAATTTATTTCGTCGGTTTTTCAACGTCAAACATTTCTAAAAAAATCCACATAGGCATATATTGTTTTGTCTGATCATCTGGTTAGAGTTTCATATAACAGCGCATGGAAACAATAATTTGGACTTTGGCAACTTATGACCTACCTGGTGTTTTGGGACTGTCGGGCGGTCAATGTCTCTTCTCCCAAAGTTAGATGCACTGCAACTTTGATGAACCTATTGAATCATACGCAGCACCTATCTTTGTAGAGCCGATAATCAGCATACTACTATTGCACTTGACGCTAGAACCTTAGTGGGAGCCGGCGGAATTATTTTTCGCGAACGAATTGGCCGTGGATATCTTTGTTCTGGATATGGAACCTGTAAACCTTGAAAACATAAAGAATAGATTCTTGTAAATGTAGAATACGCGACAGTCTCAGCGAATGCAAAAGATGGAAGGCCTTTGAGCCAAAGCGCAGTGGGCAGAGCAAAATGGTTCGCACTTATTCCTTGCTACCGTCTAATCGGAAAGTCGATTTAGCCTAGCGAAACGCTATAGAAGGAACGAAAATTGTATGTTCGGAACAAAGTTAAGGCTGTCATAGAGTGCCGTTTCATTTGTATTTGTGTAGTCAATAGCCGATCGCATTGAATTCGAGGTACGTAGATGTGTGAAAGAAAGTAGGAAGAGGAACGGGAGGTGACAAGAATGGTACCAGGTCAACAGGAGTTTAAGTGCTAGATATGTGGATGTCGTTTCGCCAAAAACGAAACAGCATTTACGTGTATTTTTGGCTTCAAATTCAAGCAACAAATCCGCACATCCTTAGAGCACAAACAAAGTCTGGCATAACGTGGTTTTAACGGCAAACTCACCCGAATCCTAGCTGCATTCCTCGTTTACGATATTCTCCAAATGAATGTGCTGGGCGAAATCCACCTCTTGTTCCAGTAACCGTTAGAGTAATCTTCAGTAAACCCTTGTATCTTGAATATCATACTATGTGAAACATGAGGCGACCTTTGTGTCACATGCACTTGAAGAATACCATAAAAAACGGTTCAGCTTTGTTTCATTTGGGTCTCTCGTTAAATCAAAATACTCGTATTTCGCGAAAGATTGTTCCCTTCAGATGACTTTGACAGGGTTTATTTCTTGAGATGAGTATAAAAAACGTTACAGGGCCAAATCGATAAAAAGTTAGCTCCTTGATCACTGATTTTGAACACGATTGTGTCATGCAGTGTACCGGGATGTCAGTAAGCTCTGGTGGAGGCAGACGTGATTAGGTTTCAATCCTTAATCATCAATAGGTTAGTGAAGTTTCCCTCGTAGTTTTCCGTTGAAATTAAATTTTGTTGATACAAATGGAATGTTCGTTTCGGCTTGCTAAGATGATAGCCTTACAGGTTTATTTTTTACCCGCATACTTATCTGAAAGGTACACTTCCGAGGAACGGAAGAATCCGTGTCAAGAGGTTGACTGTACTTTAGACTTCGCCAAGAGAACAACCGAGTCCCAGAAAGCGACGAATTGAAATTAACATGGCGCGATTGACCGGTAGACGTCGTTGAATCAATACAACAGGACCCAGAAATATTCAACATTTGAATGCCTTCTCTTAAGTAGTCAACTCTGATGGAGGAATCATAAAATAATTGCAGCAAATGTTTTCCAAGCAGGGTATGGATAAACTAGTATATAGGTCGTCGGGGGTTGCATAATGGCTGAAGTTAACAATGGACGACGTCGCCGGATCCATACATTAACACTTCATTACTTGGCTGCCTCAGGCAGAAACTGTTCACCTCTTTAAGGCATGCAAAGTTCACGGTGTTTTCAGCGACCGTCAGCGAGAGACTCAGCTTGGATTCAGATGAGTTTCCCATGAAAACCAAATTGATATACAAATGGGTCTTTGCCAAATTCAGTGCAACATACTGTTGATGGAAACTCGGAGAAGGCGTCTACCTGATGAGTCCCAAGAAGGGCAAAACCGGTTGCAGGTTCGGAAAGTTTTCAAGAAACTTGTGAAGAGTCTGACAGTTTTCAGTTACTCAGTGTTGAACAGCTGGCTGTTCGATGAGCGGATGGTAGAAGTTGTTAGACCCTGGAATTATCCCTCAGGCTATCCGAAAAACATACAAAGTGGGACTAACCAAAAATTACTTTCCCAGGCTGATTAAACGTAGGTTCTCTTCGGTGCGTCTCTACTAGACTGTTTATCTGATCTTATACATTTCCTTCGCTGAAAAGGAGACAAACTTAAAAAGCAGACTGTGCTTACTTGGATTTCAAATTATATTGAAATAGTGAGTCAGGTTTCTGGCCGCTTATTAGGGAGAAAATGGTTATACGGACACATCACTTGACAGATTCAAAGGTTCTCAAGTGATCCTCCTTTCAAGATCGAATGTGAAGGTTTTCCCCGGCAGCACAAGCGGTAAAGTTCATATTTGTGTGCTGTCTTCTATACACCAACTAACTTCCGTGTGATTTTAGCAATATTTTTTATTTAACAGAACTGTTGGACTCTCCGGTCTACTTGGTCTATATTAAGTTACGGTTCGGATCTTCGATTTTTCGCTCAGGCCCGAACATGAAAGACTCTCTGTAGTAAGCCGGTCTAAGGGAACACCTATCTTGTTGGGTATTTGGTGACGATAATAAAAAGCGACAAGGTCTGTCTAGGTCCTGGCGATGTTTTTAAACTGTAACATGTATGCAACAACTCGCTCTGGTGGGCATTCTTTAAACTGTTGCTGAATTAAACTACTGCCCGATAAGCTTCATTTCGGAGTAATACGCTTGTGTGCGACCACATTGCTGTTGGTGTTTTTGGACTTGTTTACGTAACGCAATAGAAAAAAGCTGTCCAGCAAATAGGAACGTAAATGTATATCCGTACAGCAAACTTACTAGGTATATGCTAGAACGGAGGTGAGCGTTTATCTGACGTTCATTCACCTGCTTTTTAGACAATGCTGACCTGTGGACTTTCCAAACTTAGGTCTACAGGAACTAGCATAACTTGGGAACATTTCCAGAAGTTTGTAGGTTGGCACTAGGCTAAACCCGCCAGTCAATGTATTAGAAGCTAAGTTGGACTGAACCGACAAAGCGCAATTTTTGGAGAATTTTCTGATATTTTATAAACATTCCAGTTGTAACACCCTTCCGGTGCCTAGCTGCAGCGCCACCTGAGGGGAGTACGAGGGCTGGAATACCGCCAGGCTGCCCAAACCTGGACAGGGGAAGTCGAGAGGCAGATGTTGGGTTCGACCCACGGACCTTCCGGTCAGTAAATCCGCGCTCTAAACGCTGAGCCATCTCGTCGTTGTATGGGTAGGACAAACGTGCATTGTTCCTGCATCTGAACTACTGAGAGAATATTATCAGCCTCTTCCATCACGTCAGAAGGCAGAAGCTTTCAGACGCTAATCATGCGGACCACCTGGATGGTCTGGTATTTTTTAAGGCTTGTCCACTTGTGCGAGCTAACAAATGGTGAATTTGCATGGTCACTTCGGAAATTTACTTGAAGGCGTTTGACGTAGATTCTTGTGATTTGTTTGTTCACATCAAGATCATTTGATAAAGTTTGTAGCACGTGCCATTGTTCATCTTGACCAAGGGGTTGGTAAGAATAGCCATCAGGAGCCGAATTAGGAGATAGCTTGCCACTAACAGTCTGGAAATTATAGAATTGGAATTGTAAATCTGGATATGAGGTCAGACGTGTTGACAAACCTCAGAAGAAAGGTGAAAGATACATGCGATAACAGAGCCTAAGACCATGCGATTACCCGGACTCTGGTAACACCAGAGACTAATCGGGGTGATCTAAAAGGGTTATCTTGGTTGATTAATCGCTACGAACCCTCGGAATGTCAAGGTTTTTGACACTGACATCTGAAAGGTTACTGATACAGTAGTGGAAAAGCCCTCCAGAGTCGAGGAAATCCCTAGTTGCAAACCTTTAGAGTATTTAGCAAGAGAAAACACCCATTGGGACATTACGTAAAAATAATAAGTAAATTTATTTTGAGTGTCAGAAATGGTGCATGGAAATGCACCATTAGTTTACTTACACCGGGTTAAAAAATTGAGTAGATCCAGGCAACCGAGTATGAAGTTTTGGAAGCGTCATTTCACTGCTTCACTTTGCACACATTAGTAAACCGAAACACCGAAAGTACATAGAAGTAAATTCAAAATGTTGTTTGAGTACAGAAAGTGATTGTTTAATTCACCTTTTTGAAAGGTTTTGCTGTTCCATTTACTGACCGCACGAAAACTCAGCAAAACTGATAACCCAATCACCTGACCTGAAGGTGGATGTTTTTTATCAAAAGTCCAGCAATAAACCTAGGCGTTTCTTGGTTTTCTGAAGCGGAGAGCACAAAAAGTTTAGTCTCACAGCAGATCACTCTTTCTTGTACAGCTTTTCAAGATCAATTGTTGATAAACGACGATTTATGTGTACCACTCAGTCTGAATTTAACGACAGGAGACGTACGGCTAGGTCACCTAAAGGGCAAATAAGAGGGTATGGCGGGTTACCGAGTGCGAGTACCCAAGGCCCTTGTCCAAAATGTTACTTTTCCAATACGGAACAATTGAATTGTGCTTATGCGACTATCTAGCCACCTGGTGTTCTTCGTAAGAAAAACACTTCGACATCTCGGAGAAAATCCCAAGAAAAAATGATAAACACAATCTGCTCAACAAAACACTTATCAACCCCAAAAAGTTTCGAGATGCGTCCATTGGTCCTTATGACTTGATGGAGAGATACCATACAAAGTTCGCAAATCATTACGAGGCTTGTGCCCAACCAACCCTCTCAGACCTACAGTTGCAGTCCTATCGCTGGCTGTCTGGTAGGTATTACCAACTAGACTTACCTGTCAGAGGGCTGGTCAGAGCACGGGTCGCCTTATTTCCTGTCTTGTCTCGCAGATCACTCTTTCTTGTACAGCTTTTCGTGATCAGTTGTTGATAAACGACTATTTATGTATACCACTCAGTCTGAATTTATCGACAGGAAACGTACGGCTAGGTCACCCAGAGGGCAAATAAGAGGGTATGGGGGTTACCGAGTGCTAGTTCCCAAGGCCCTTGTCCAAAATGTTACTTTTCCAATACGGAACAATTGAATTGTGCTTATGCGACTATCTAGCCACCTGGTGATCTTCGTAAGAAAAACACTTCGACATCTCGGAGAAAATCCCAAGAAAAAATGATAAACACAATCTGCTCAACAAAACACTTATCAACCCCCAAAAGTTTCGAGATGCGTCCATTGGTCCTTGTGACTTGATGGAAAGATATCATACAAAGTTCGCAAATCATTACGAGGCTTGTGCCCAACCAACCCTCTCAGACCTACAATCGCAGTCCTATCGCTGGCTATCTGGTAGGTATTACCAACTAGACTTACCTGTCAGAGAGCTGGTCAGAGCACGGGTCGCCTTATTTCCTGTCTTGTCTCCCCCATACTTCCAATCAGGAAGGCTGACGATCACAATCATGTCGTGGTCTCAGATCAACCGTCGTCGGAAAGCACTAACATCGAACGGTGGTGATGGGTCGTCGCCCTTGGTGATCTTAGTAGACAGTCGTTGATTTTATGCTAGTTCAAAGGTGCTGCTCTTTGGTATCGGTTCTTATCCCATTGCTACTGGCGGACCAGCCAAACCTGTTTTGCCTATTGTCTCATCAACCCAAAATCTGTAGTGCTGCATTTCGATCCCTCACCAGTAATCACAATCTCGCGCAATATAAACGGGCTTGCCCGTAATTATGATAAACTGTGAAATAGATGCTTTGGTTTTAGACTTAGTTATGTCTTCAAAAGATTCTACTCTTCTCATAGCAACCAACAGCCGACGGATGATGAGCTTTGCGGCTTGAACGTGAGTACATGGCTCTTAACATCTACAGGCATGCACATATAAGGCAGTGCCTGACAAGCACGTGAGTCTACTGACTGACGCGTAAGTTGTGTCACGACATACAAGCATGCCGATTAGCCAAGTGTCTCAAAACAAATGAATATACCGTAAACGAGAGATCCATTTGAGATTCATTTATGAAGACCAAATGGATAGGCATGTGGGTGAATTTATCCAATGAACAGTTGTTTAGGTCTGGACGAACTAGAAATGTTCAGTGGCGTGATAATTCTACACGCTTAACTAGTGGTCAATCACTGTTCTCTGGTGAAGTACAAAGCATTCAGACGTGCGGGTTGTTTGTGCCAAGCCAAACTGCTTGGAGAGCTGCGGCACCATGTATTTTCACAAAGTTTTGTGTGATGCGACTATCTAACACGAAAATCTCACCTTTTACGTACAAGTCTTGACTGCGCCAAAGATGGTTGATGTTACGTTTTTCATCAAACAGCAAACACATGGTCACAATTATCGATTTGGGTGATCATTTTTGTCACCGGAGACACATTGATCAGGTCGAGTTCAATACTACAGGTCAGTCTGTTAACGACACTTCTGCTGCTTCAAATTCTAATGAATCCTTTGTAGGTGATCTTATTGTATCCGTACAAAACGTTATATCTGAAGAACATATTACCTACGTGGAACCTGAAGTTTTCAATCCGAGAAGATCTGAAAGACTACGATCAAGACCACAAGTGAACTATAAAAATCCACATGCAAGATCTGAAAGATTACGATCAAGACCACAAGTGAACTATAAAAATCCACATGCCCATTCAAGGTGTGGCCGATGTGATGAACATGATTCATTGCTCTATTTATTATTCTCTTGTTTTAATATTCCAAGTGCTCTATACACACGTCAGTTTGAATGCATACGTGGTACTTGTTACGCCGTGCTGAATTCTGAATTTCTACTTCTTCTGGTTATACCGATATACGTGCTTAACTGCTACATTTCCATAACGCAGATAGTCTCCGTCCTTTACCACTGAAGCTTTGATTGCCTTCATTTAAGTTTTTACTACCTTGTGGAACTGTACTAAAGTGTATTTTACATCTTGTCAAGCCAAGCTTCCTACTAGGAGTATGGGCAAGATTAAAAGCACCATTCGTCAGCCAATGCCAAAGACGAGTTTTCTTGGCGAGACAAGACTCTTTTGAAATGAATTTAAGGCGAAATACGTGCATCTTGAAACTCAACGGAATGTTTCTTATTTGTCCACTTTAGGTTTCTATCTGTTTATATACGCAAGCTTGAGTCTTGCAGACGGCACAGTCAACAGCAATGCTCCCTGTAAATAAGTATTCTACTGGTGCCTGTGATTTGTCCTCTATCAAGGGTCAATGTTTTTACATCTCCATTCACTAATTCCAGTGACAACTAGTTTACCCATAATGTAATTTAATTTCCCATGCAGGGACTTTACATCGCTTCATAAGTGGTTTGATACCAAGTTGGCAATGCACCAATCTATGGGATCATCATATCATATGGATAGTATATGACAATACGATGATCTTGTGCTAATCTATCTAGCACAATCCTATAGAAACTAGCCAGCTCGTAATCTCCTTGGTTTCGTCATTAAATAACTGTAGAATAATAAGGGCATTTAGCACATGTTCTTAACTCACCCTGATTCACTGCGACCTTTGATAAGTAAAGATGCTTCAGTTAGCGAGACGATCCAGCAATTGACATCCGCCACGAGTTATCGCTGGTAGATATTTTTGAAATGACACTTTGGCCGTAGTGTTATTGGACAAAATTATGTAACCATCGAAATACCATTTCATCTTAGTTTATCTTATTTCGGGACTTTTAATCGTCATGATGTTATGTATTGGTTACGGAACCAACGATACTCCTAAGATGTAACTAGTTATAACATAACTAGGGACCATTCGATATCCATCTAAATTAGCTGGCTTGATGTTATGGTGAGTGATAACTTTCTGTAAGTTCACGGTTCTGTAACCACAGACTGTTGGATGTGAACGTGATGATCACAACTGAATTGGAAGTAGGTGCTTGTAAACAATAGGGTTGATCATATAGTGTTTGTGGACTTCGCTATGCTCGTGTATTAAGTATTGATATATGGTAGCTCACCCATGTGTAGCCCGCAACTCGCGCATAGCTGTCCACCAAATGTCCGTGTATCGTATTAAGAGCAACTATGTAATAGTAGATTATCACAAGTTAAATAGCTTTTCGCAGTTTTCAGGCCGCGTCTCACGCACAACATTTGGGTAACTAATCTGGAAGCGACTGTATAACAGACAACATTCAACACTGGATTGAGTGGATCATGATCACGAAGACATGGGTTTCCTACGTGATAACCATGTGTAAATCATCCGATGGCTAATTAACCAAACCAGCTTTTCAAACAACGAATGCTCAAATGCGCATCAACCATATTACAACTTCTCAAACAGTTATAAAGTCCCATTTACATTACCTCAATTAGGGCCCGGCTTCCGACGTGCTACGAACACTAGCCGTTCAGCTTAATCTGCCTAAATTCCGAAGGTTTTCCGGCGATATCTCCGCTCCCCATCGTAGCTTTATTGGATTGAGGAAACAATGAATAAACAGATGCGGCTTCTTCAACTAATCACAGACAGGGGGTGCTGTGGAGTGCCTGCAGCAGAAAGCAAAATGTCACGTTGGTTGTCTGTGAGTTCAATACTAACATATCGTTTATGTTTCTCGTAGATATACAGGGTCACCCAAGCTTTGGTATACCGTATCATTCACGTTATAGATTCATTCAACCGTGCGCTTAACAGGTCACATGCTTTACTAGCAGATAACGATAACTCGTCTAACTCCTCATGAGGGAGACATTTTTGTGCAATATTTTAACGTAATAGTTTTAATATTATTATATTTGTATATATTTATATAATACCTGCTGATTCCCCCCATGAATCAACGGTGATCAGAGTAACTTTCCCTTTTCCTGACTACTCATGGGTAATGTGACTTGGTTTCCGCCCGTTTTTCCCACTGTTTCGTTCCCACTTAGGGTCTGCTTATTCTTCAGTACCTGATGTCAGCATTTCGTTGCCCGTCCGTCACTGCTTACAAGTTCCTGTTTTCCAGCGTCCACCACGATGGAAAAGCTGACCGACCGGGTGTCGAACTCAGAGCTCCCAAACGGTAAGTGACGTCCACTGCACTGACCTGTCGACCGCAACGGTCTATTTTTTGTATCACCTATGTACCGCACCTACCAGATAGCCTTTGGCGATATTTATTTTGAAAGGACGAAACCGCGCAATCTGACCTGTCAAGTGCCGCATCGCACCGCCTACCGAAAGACAGTCCCTCACTACCCAAACGTACTGAATTCTGCGCCGTTATCTTTTTAAACGGCCAACTCACACTGTCGGACTGCCCATAAATGTATGTGTGTACATCGTTTAGTGCCTACTTGCTGTTGCCTCTAGAAATCCCTGCCGCGTCAGTGACTGTTTTCCGCCCCTATTGACTGCGTCAATATTGATTGTACGTTTGCTTAATTCATTTTGCTTACCATTCGTTTGTCTGTAGAATCAGTTCTGTCAGTCCTCAAAACGCCATCTGCTGCCCACATCTGTCTGGTCCTATTGACCACTGACTACGAACTGCGTATAATCTAATAGCCGCAATCGCCCTGTGGGATCCATAACCGTCCGGATCTTACATTATATATATATATATATATATATATACATGCTCTGTTTTCCAGCTTCGTGACGCCTTTGTCCATTACTGAGAAGGCTATTCTAAAGTATATATCCAATAACAGGTAGCAGTGGTCGTTCAAAGCACAAAATACGCTTATCTGAGATCCTAACCAGGTTGCTGAGTTTAAAGACCCACGGAAGGTGGTCAAGTTCATCCCCGGATTTCTTGATATTACCCAGGCCAGCCAAAGGGGCCAATTTGAGCACGAAAGATCAGGGCATGTGGTAACTTTTTGCAGTGTTGCGTCAACTTGCGCACTTGATTTACGCGTGAGATGATAACATGCACGCAGTGCATGCGGGTTGCTGAAAGACTTCTTGGAATGCATTCGAAAATTTTTGTGGACTTCTTCTAGCCCGTTTTTATATATTTTCCATTATTTTATTGTAATCAGTTTCTGGATCATAATTAACCCGGCTTGTTGGATAGCTCCATCCGAATGTATACGCTTTCAGGATCGTGGATTGATAAACTACTGAGAATGTCGGTTTGTGCATGCTTCGTTTGTGTAATACCTATAGATTTATTTGGAAGTTCCCCAAACGTAGGCGATTCCATAACCGGTGCAAACGCACCGGAGGAAGATATGGCATTACGTAGTCAGCAAACCCAACAAATTTCCACATGGTTTGCCAGAGCAGTTATGACAGATAGAAGGTTCACAGATCAGTTCCATCTAATGACTTTGGATGAAATCAGTACCCGCGTCAACAGGGACACCAGCACCCCGTCTTTTTAATCGTTCAGCAAAACATGCAAAGCACATGGCCAAATATTAAATAAAAGAAATTCCAGTAACAAATAAGGGAAGCTTGTGAATAAAGTGAGTTAGCTGAATAGAGAGGAGCCACGATGCAGTGGTAGTAAAAGCTAAAACAGGTGTCTCGAGAGATAAGGGGGAGAATCTGTACAAATGCTTACTAAAGAAGAGCACCACTGACAGGTCCGGCGAGGAGTCAGAACCAGTCCCAAACTGAAGCGTGGAACACTACTAACGGAATCTGCTTGGTTAGTTGCCTGCAATACTTTACTTGTAT